CCTGCTTTCAGGAATCGTGGGAATGGGTGGGTGGTGGTTCGGGTGAGAAAGATGAGACGGACGAAATGAAGACAGAAGAGAATGAAAGATTATCTGTGGAATATTACTGCCCCAGCATTTGCCTAAGTGATCCAAGGAAACCACAGAAAAACTTGGACCGAGCGGCATGGCCTAGAGGTCCAGAATATGATGATTCGTGTGCTTTTATCCTTTTTTCGGATATTAACAACAATTGGATTAAGAACAAGAGTAGGTGGAGTTTGTAAAGTTTAGAAACATTAATTGGATTAAGAATAGAAGAAACAGAGTGGTTGGTCCAAGATAAGAAAGTGGGGTATAAGGGGTGCGGTTTGATAAGAAGAGAAAGGGAGAGATCGGGGTACGTGCAAGTGTCCAGCGTGCAACAATTCTTGCTATCGGATGTTAATGATTTGAAGGTGATCAATTGTATCGACTATTGCACTCTAACGAAAATAATAATAGATTTTATGACTGCAATATAAAGAAAAGGAACACGAACTATTTGAAATACAATGATGTTGGGATAAACCCCTAATGACACACCTATCATTAAAAATCAACATACAAACATACAATAGAAAAGGTACCTAAGAATAAACTAATTGTTTGCAAAGTAAACAAAATAAAGTAAAAGTAACTTATTTAAATGACTAACAACCCCAATTACAAAATTACACCTAAAAGCTATAGCGAAACAATGGATATAGAACGTTGACACCCAACAGGCGTTAATTAAAAAAAAAAATAAAGAGAATGTTGTTTATAAAAAGTTTCAGCCTTCAATGAGAAACAAAGCACATTTGTCAAATAATGATTCGAAAAGCGTCAAATTCCTAGATGTAAATAGTTATATGTATACATGGGAATAGCGATTCTGGAATGTTTTCTTCCCATTTTTTCCCCGTTCGATAAATGATTTAGAATCAGTTGTATGAAACAGCAATAATTTATTGCCCCACAAATCCGACAACCATTTTTTTTTGCCGAAAATGAGCTGTCATTGTGCGATACTTGAGGGCAAATATCAGCAACATTCTGTGATGTTTAGCTGAAAACGAAGGAGGAATGATATAGTATACGATGCGCATAGGCTTTCTAAGCATGAAAGATGATGACACATACGAATTAATTTTACACACTGTCATAACTTTTGCGCGGACAATTCATCATCAATTTCCTTCTCTAACCAGAGGATCAAAGCCTTTTGCTTTCCCTCCTGATTAGTTTTGCAGTTTTCCTTCGCACAGATTACGAGAGTCTTTCTGCCACAATTTATCACCGAGTAATTCTACCGACCGACTTGCCGAATACGTTTCGTCCATTAAAAACGGAAACATCACCTTGATAATTTCTTCTTTTTAATCTACACATCGGAGACGCGACCAACATCTTTAAAGACAATACAACTGTAGAGATAGATATACAGGGGGAAAAGATTAGTATGCTTAGATTTGTAGCAGTATTAGCATCTAGCAAGGAGGAGTTAGAGATAACTTTAAATAAAATACTGTATGAAAATAAATAAAACTAAGACAAAAATACTGGCATTTAAAAGAAGAAAAGGTAGGGAAAAAGCGAATATAAATATAGGGTACGAGAAATTAGAAGAAGTGACTGATTTTAGGAAGTTAGACAAGTCAAAAAGAAAGAACTAATAGGGATATAAAGCAGAGGATAGCGCAGGGTTCAGCCGCTTTCAATAAAGTGAAGTCACTTCTATGTTCGCGAACGGTTAATTTAGAATTTCAAAAAAAGGATTTTAAAGGTGTATGTTTGGAGCTCGCCGCTGTACGGGTGCGAAACATGGACAGTGGGCGCGGCGGAAAAGAAAAGGTTAGAAGCGTTCGAAATGTGGTGTTATAGGCGAATGATGAGGATACCGTAGATAGAGAAGGTTGCAAATGAAGAGGTATTAGAAATAGTAAGAGAACAGAGGACTCTATGGAAGTCAATAAGAAATAGGTCAGATAGGTTAGTACGACTCCTTCTCAGGCAAGAAGTTCTAGTCAGAGACATATTAGAGGCAGAAACAGGAGTTAGGAGGGGTGGAGGTAGACCTAGATTAGATTACTGTTCCCAAATAGTTAAGGATGTAGGTTGTTCTAGTTTTAGGGAAATGCGAAAATTAGCTCAGGATAGGAAGGAGTGGAGATGCGTGTCCAACCAGTGTTAGGACTGACGACCTTATAGTGGTGGTGATATTTAAAAAGACCTACAACATGTAATGGCAATTAAAAGACAAAGCTCTGGCTAGAAACATGTTAGAATCAGAAACAGGAGTTAAGAGCAGTGTAGGTAGACCTAGATTAGATGTTGTAGTATTAGGGAAGTGTGAAGATTAGCTCAGGATAGGAAAGAATGGAGGTGCGTGTCGAACCAGTTTTAAGACTGACGACTTATGATAATGACGACGATTAGGTGATTTGTAGTTGTTCTGAAACATTAGTAAGTGAGTTTTAGTTTCATCAAAAAAATCTATAACTTCAAATACACGCTATGTTTGGTTGTCGTGATGATGACAAATAAAATTATTGGTTATAACGTGACAACAAAACAGTTCAATAAATAAATAATTAAGGACGCTCGTACAGTGACATATCATATATTAGACAGACTAATAAATTAATATCTGTATGCTGTATGGACTCGTTAAATTTATCGATTACAGTATACGAGAACAGCTGCAATCAATTTGTTAATTAAAAATAATAGTTTTCTCAAACTGGAAAATAATCAATAAACTGTTTATGTAAAAACTTTTTTACTCTGTTATTATTCAGCAAAAACAGTCTTTTTTCAATCCAGCTAGTCGTTAAGACTTTAGACCTACGTATATTTAGCGTATTACTTAAAAAGAACATCGCGGTTTACAAAAGAAGGAAAGATTTATCTGTCATTAATCTTGAACCATTGATTTTTTGTACTGCAGGAGTAACTAATGAGAGTCACGAGCTTTCTTATCTTTAAGATTTAAAGGTCGACCGCTGTTTTTAAATGTCAGAATATTTATAAATACCTATACAGTAAGTTTTTCAATGAACTTGCGCATTTCCACCCTTGGAGAAATTTTTCCTAACTTAGAACAGATATGTTTGTAGAATGTAACTTATTAAGAATGTAAAATAATGGGTAAAGGTCTAGATGATGGCCCCCACCCCCAAAGGGGAAACAGGAGGTTTCCCCCCACCACTGTGACATAAAAATTTCGTGGCGGTCTCACCCCCATAAAAAGTTATGGGGGTTCAAAGTTAATAAATATGCCAATTTTTATACATTTCTAGCCATGTAAATATTTATACAGTCATTCTTAAACAATATTCAAAGGTAAAACTAATGAAAAATACATAAAAATATTGAGCAAGTTATATAAAACATTATTTATATATCTTTATCAATAGAGTAGGTAAGGTTAGGTAAGGTTAGGTTAGGTTATCGGGTTTTGTTCAAGTGACCACCCTCTTTCGATCCTCCACCTCCACTCGCTTGAAAATATTTTTTTTATTGAATTTTATTTGAATTGTAGTGTATGAAAATTGTCAAAATAATCAACTTTCAACCCCCATAACTTTTTATGGGGGAGAGACCGCCGCGAACTTTTTATGGTACAGTGGTGGGGGAGACCTCCTCTTTCGATCCCACTCACCCCCACCCCCTTCCGGAATGAGGGCCATCATATAGACATTTACCAAATAATGCATTTTGTCAACAATGCAGTCCACAAAGTTTTTAAACTTATTGTAAAATAATAATAGTGCCCGATTAGTTAAGCTAAAGAATGATCTTTGATAATACCGTTTCACACTTAAACTTATAGGACTTTTACTTCATTATCAGATGTGACAGATTCGACCAAGGGGTTATTTTGAGAATGTAGGATACTGAAATTATTTACTCTGTAATATCTAACAATTCGAGAAATTGAACAGTTCATCAATAAAGCGATAAACCGAGAAAAGATATCCATCGCGCATTTCTTTGTGAAATGTGTACTTAATTATTACGATGGAACGTTATAAATAAGAAGTTAATCAAACAACAGAAAATCGTAAAGCTAGCAGTAAAATTGGCATTGCGATTGGATAGTAGGCATAAAAGTGATGCTGTTAGCCGTTTATTGTGCTGAACCTTGATTTATAATCGATTTGTTTCTACATGTTACATCATCATCATAAGGTCGTCAGTTCTGAGACTGGTTGAACACGCACCACCACTCCTTCCTATCCTGAAATAATGTTCGCATTTTCCTAACACTAAAACAATCCACATCCTTAACTATTTGCGAACAGTAATCTAATCTAGGTCTACTCTACTCCTCTCAACTCCTGTTTCTGACTCTAATATGTCTCTGACTAGACCTTCATACTTGAGAAAGTGTCCTTCCAACCTATCTCGCCTATCTTTTATTAACTTCCATAGAGTCCTCTATTTTCCTATTCTTTCTAATACCTCTTCATTTCTAACCTTCTCTATCCACGGTATCCTCATGATTCGCCTGTAACACCACATTCAGAACGCTTCTAACCTTTTCTTTTCCGCCGCGCCCACTGTCCATATTTCGCACCCGGCGCGCTCCAAACATGCGCCTTTGACAACCTTTTTTGAATTTCTAAATTAGTCGTTTGCCAGCATAGAAGTGACTTCTTTTTATTGAAGGCGACACGACCCTGCCCTATCCTCTGCTTTATATCCCTACTATTCGTTTCGTCCTGAGTTATCTGACTTCCTAGATACCTAAAATTAGCCAATCCTTCTAATCTTTGTCTCCTCTTTTTGGGTTCGCTCTTTCCCTACTTTTTCTTTCCTTGCTTACCAATATGTAGGATTATTATAAACAACAGAAGTAGAAAAAGTATAAAATTGTATAAGCTATAATGCATCACGTACTTTAACGATTTCGTATTAATATTCATAATGTAAGTTGCAATATGGAATAAAAAATGTTCTACGGTCTGATCTATTTTTATTTTTATTTTTTTCAGAACAGAAAGCAAATTCTGGAATAACATAACATAAATTTGTTGTACCTACAACTGGAGTCGCTTAAAAGAAAGTTTTCGGTAAGTTTTTGTTATATAATATTTTTTAATAATAGCAGAGGTTGCAATGTTAAATTTACCTTTTTAACTCCATCAATGTGTGCCTACCGATTTTTTAAATTATATGTGCACTATTAGAGATATGCGACGAAGATTTTTTGAAAATTCTCATTTTGGTACAAGTAAATATTATAACTACCTATAAATAGGTTGTTTGAAATCCTTAGAAAATTGCAAATATTTCAAAGAAAGCCAATGCTTGGTTTCTTACTCATTCTCCTGTTTAGCTCCATTAGATAATCGCAATGACGATAAATATTGCAAAGTTAACACCGGGTTCTAAATAAATATTTAAAAGAAGCCCGCTGATTATCTGTCTCCATCTTCCAAAATTAAATATAAACCAACAGTCTTGTTACAATTCCCGCCAATCTTCTTGTCAAGACATCTGTTAATTATCGCTGTGCTCTCACTATCCATTTAAAATCCGCAGTCGAAAAATAAAAACCAGCGTAGTTCTCGCATGAATCAAATACTTTATCAGAAAAGACATGAGAAGTTGGCACAGTTAAATTAGATCGCATATATATAAATTTTCAAAATAGATTACTTGCTGAAACATTTGAACTGATTAGTCGAAAATAAATACCTGATTTAGTAAATCCTAATTAATATCATAAATGCGCGTGTAAGTTTGCTAGTTTGTTTATTCATTACTATTTCACGCCTTAACTACTGAACTGATCATCATGAAACTTTGTACACTCACTGTCAGTAGTACAGAAAAGGACATAGAGCACTTTTTATCGGGAAAAAAAGGACCGTTCCCGAGGGATAGAAGAATTAGCTTAATGTGGTCGTCGATGTTCTTTGACACTTACTTCATCAACGCGAGCGGCTAAAACTTGTCATGGATTTTGTACACACACTGTTAGGGCTACAGAAAAGGGTATGGGGATACTCTTTTTCCAAAAGAACAGTAGCGTTCCTTAGAGATAGAAGAATTAGTTTTATGCGGTCGTCGATGATCTTTGCTACTTATTTCGAAGAGAAACGGAATGCAAAACTTGGCGATTGTTTTCAAAAGGAATTGTAAGGCTTTATAATTTTTGAGAAACAAATACCAAGTGTGTATTTATTTATCTATTTGTTTCTAAATTACATCACGTAAGGAATACCAAAAGCACCGATACGATTAAATCTGCAGCAACGCCACTGGTTTAGCCGCAAGAATGTAATTTATAGCTTAATCCTGATAGAAAGCTAAATACAAACAGAGAGTTTTACGTGCAAAATTTCCATACTGTCGCGTGCTTCCATAAATAGCTAATTTTTATTTGTAAACGCAGACGTCCAACTTGCTTCAACCATTTCAGGCAATACGACGAATTTTAAACGTTGACGAATTAGCTTCCATTGCCTCATTTAATTAAGTTGTTGTCAGGTAAAAATTAGGTTGACTTAATTTTTCTCAGGTACCATGTCCTTTAGTTATTTATCTTAGTTAGTATGTGATTAACTGTAAATACAGTAGAGATTCAGTAGAACGAAACTGCTAAAATTTTGATGGCACGTACGGCGGCAATGAGCCGAGCGGCAAAAATCAGCATTACCACCATATAAATTCACTAGTTTTTCTTTGCTAATTCAAAATTACTAGCAGGGGAAAATCGGTCCTGAATTGCTGGAAGGAACAAGAAGCTTTAGACTGCAGGTATATTTCATTTACTTTCTCTAGCGATGTGCCCCTTCCAATGTTTCGGATGCGCGCTGGCAAAATCGTAGATATGGAGAAGAAAGCTCATTATATTCTCGACTCTTGTTCATTAAACATACTTTTTCATACAGTACCTGCCAAAAGTTTTGTTCAATCATGAATTAGTGCGAGTCGAAAAAAAGCGTTAAAGCCTTTAATATGTCTTCAAATATAAACAAACATCTCGTTGATATTTTCAGTAGTAAATGGTACCAATAACAGCACATTTGAGCTATGCAATTGTAGTGGATAAAATGGTCAATTTTTCGGTGCAGTAGTGTACGGATTATACGCTCCTCACCGGTTAAGAGTTTGGCCGAGAGTTGTCTCCTTCCTTTTCTGGCCTAGTGCTGTTCTTTTCTACTTTGCGCCGGTCAAACTGAAGGTCACATCGGTACAGAAAGTAAACGAAATATACATATACTCAAAAATAAGTGTATATCTCGCCAGCTTTTTGCCCGTAGGGTTGCCCTACCCGTATGGGCTACATTTATTAGGTTGAGTGGCGCTCCACGCGTTATACAATTTTAGAACCCTGAAATTGTAATACTTTTTGATGGGTGACGCTTATCCACTTCGTGTCGGCTTTCCGATTTGAACGAATCAGTGACCATGAAAGGGAAACATCTTTTTTTTAAAGAAAAAACGTCATTCAAAAGAAATATTTTCACCGAAAAAAAAATATATGGAACACAGGTCATGTTTAGTTGTCGCTCACACATGAATCTTTTCAAAATTTCACTTAACTGTAAACAATTTTTATTTGAAATGAACGTAAAATACTGTTGGCGCCATTTTAAATGAAAAATTAAGCTGATGTAGTCGTAACTATAATTTATTAACAATAAGTGAATGATAAATAAATAGTTAGACTGATAGTAACACTAATTCAAATATTTTCATCTTAATATGGAAATTTTGCTTATTATTTCAATGAAAAAAATTTCTTTTTGATCACACAATGTGGGTGTGTTTTATGAAGTTTGCAGTTATTATCTGGTGTGATAACACATGTACAGTATTATTTACATTAATATAAATGCGCAAAATGAAACACAAAATCTAAAACTCAAAATTCCGCGTACAAACCCTCAAAAAATCAAAAGTTTGTTTCGACATCCTAGGTGTAATCCTCAGTTATAGAGTCGAATGCCTACGTATCTAACTGATTTTTGATTTTTTTTAGTTTATAGGTGGGATTTTGGATTTTGAGTTTTATTTAATTCAGTTTCACAAACTCATACCTAATTTTTTAGAGTATATTTCGAAGAATAGTATATTTTTCAATGTCTTCTTAAAATTCTAATGCTACGTTTAAGTTTATTTAAATAAACCATTCCGCAGTTATTGGAATTGTAAGAAATATTTTCCCTTGTAATCAAACACAAATATTATGTAAGAATACTTCAGCTATTGATCTTGGACAGACCTTTTACTACTTTCTGAAATGAGAAAGCAAAACAATCGGAAAAGCAGTTATATATGTATTTTATCAATCAATATCATTGTCAACTGGTCAAGGGCAAGCTTGAACGTGACCGTTAAGCTCTTTTTTATGACTGCAGTAAAGCGATAAAACTTACTGGTGGTATTTTTCGTTTTGGTCAATTTATGGATTTCCAAATTTATCAGCCATCAGTCAAGTTCTAATTTATCACAAGTCTTACTTTATTATCGTGTTATATTCTTGTAGATTGTAGAACAGATAGCTATTTAACGAAATTGCAATTAATATTTTCATCATAAGGTCGTCAGTCCTAAAACTGGTAGGACACATACCTCCACTCTTTTCAATCTTTATCTAATATTCGAATTTCCCAAAAACTAGAACATCCTTTATTCCTAACTATTTTTGAACAGTAATCTAATCTATGTCTACATCCAGTCCTATTAACTCTGCCTCGAATATGCCTCTTATTAGCCCTTCATGCCTGAGAAAGTACCTGTTTCTTATTAACTTCCATAGCGCCCCCTGGTTTTCTACACATTCTAATACCTCTAAATCCCTAATTAATTTTTTGTTAAAGTCGTGGGTTACATTGGTCATTGATTTGGCAAGCAAAGTAGAACAGAGACAAATAGGGAGAGGCTCCACGTAATACGACATACCTACAAGGCACATATTTACAAAATTGTTGCTTATGTAAGATCTGTGTGAGGACCAAGCTAATTTTTATGTCAATGTCGGCTATTTTTACGCACAACCTGCAACTGTTTTGATCAACTAAGTGTGGCACTGTGTACTGAACATTTTTAAATATTTGTTTTTTTCAAGTACGTTAACCTTGGAAGTACGTTTTTGGTGTATACAACACTTCCATTCATTCATTCGTTCGTTCATTCATATTCATTACCGAATGTGGGAGATGGCTGTCGTAATAATTGTACAGAAAAAGGAATAGCAGCAATGTTAACGCCCGTTAGTGTATTCCAAAAATAATGACAATTCAACAAACCCTTAATTATTCATATTTATAATTATGATAAATCCGTATCAATCAATTAATTGAGTCATTATTTGGAGATCTTTGAAGGTACTTGAGTGGTGAGAGTTCTCCCCATCACAATCCACCCCGCCCCTGCCTATAGGGCCCCTAAGAAAGTTTAATACAAAGTCCACTCAGGACTGTTAACTACGCCACTGGTTCGTTCTCGTTATTCCTCATATTTTTGGCGTAAAGAAAGGACTAAATCTTCTGGTAGTTTTGACGCTAATTTTCATTATGTTTATACACATTTCAGCGAGGATGCAGAGTAAACAAATTACTTAAAGTGGTCCACATAAGTACATGCATTAATGTACATAATATTGGAGAGATTTAGTTCAGTATTCAGCTGCGCTTTCTGGTAGACACGAAGTAAAACTGATTATACAACAAAATTACAAAAGTGTTTGCATTATGCATTACTAAATGCATGTACGAATTTCGTTAAAATAATAAATAACTATTTTAATTAAATTAAAGAAATAGTATGATGCGAGATTTCTGAATAGTATTTTCGGTAGACTTGTCAGAGATTAATTCATCAGTGACAGATAGATCATCATCATCATCATAAGGTCATCAGTCTTAAGACTGGTTCGACACGTACCTCCACTCTTTCCTATCCTGAGCTAAACTTCGCATTTCCCTAAAACTAGAACAGCCCACATCCTTAGCTATTTGCGAACAGTAATCTAATCTAGGTCTACCTCTACCCCTGCTAAGTCCTGTTTCTGCCTCTAATATGTCTCTGACTAGACCTTCATGCCTAAGAAGGTGTC